GCTCATGCATGTTTTAGTCGAATTCAAACATGAGTAATCTAAAGCGGGTAGTTAGCTGAAGCCCGTTATTTAAATGAGAAGCGTTCAGAGCAGGTCTTCAGCCTTTCCTGACATCAATACTCTGTTCATAGACAGTGAAGCTTGGACACCCAGACGGCTGCAGACTTCTACGGGTGTCTGCCAGCAGAAAACCGAGACGGTCTCAACTACCTGGACTCCCGGCGACTCAACTCCTACAGTCTAACTGCTCACCCGTCAATACAGAAATGGAAGTCGTCGGGCTGGTTTGGTTCTTTCTGGGCTGGCTGGGGCGATGATGATTGAATGCATCTAAGAAAAGAAGTGCGATGCTAGTCCTCACCTCCCGCCGCTGTTCCTGTCGGCCAAATAATTTCAAGATTTGAAAATCGTCTATGAAACACTACAAGCTACTCGTACTCCATGGCAAAGTTGGCTCACTGTCAAAGTTGACTTTTGAAATCTTTACAGGCCGTAACATGACAGGTGGTTGCCCAGTCACGGCATCAGTCCTGTATGACTTCCGACCGATTATTCTCGAACCCTATCTAGTTCGGTCCCAATGTCCAAGTCGTGTCGGACTGTCTGCAGCGAGGCTGACGAGCATGGCCTCACCTTCCAATGTCGCCCATTCGAGTTAAGGGTTTGAAGCACGGAATCCGATGAGAACCAGCTTACTAGCTAGTGTCTAATGAGCCCCTGACCTGCGCGGCTGACTACGTAGGACAACTACGGATTGATTGGCGATGTCAAAGTCCAGCTCGGGTTCTGTTACCTACTTTTTGTGGTACTGTTCGGTATTCAGTCTGGCGTCCGACAGGGTTGTATCCTGTCACCCATACTGTTCAACTACGCTGTTGACTGGATCCTCGGGAGGGCCCTACGCGACAGTGACGGCGTTGAATTTGTACCCGGACATCGACTGACTGATCCCGACTATGCCGATGATATCGCCTTACTTTTGGTGATCTACAGTCTATGGTGTCACGGATGAACGAGGTCGCTAAGTAAGTCGGTTTGTTCATAAACGCTGGGAAGACCAAAGTGTTCTCAAGTTGCATCCCTGACCAGGAGAAGGCACCCCTGGGGATTGATGGCTGTCAACTTGAAGAAGTGGACAGTTTTAAATACCTCGGGGCGCGGCTGCTGCCTAATGGACAGAGTAAGGACGACATTGTCTCCCGAATCGATGCTGCCCGCTGGGTTTTTTCAAGCCTTCGGAAATGCCTGTGGAACCGACGTGACCTCTCCATCGCCACTAAGATTCGCGTGTACCGTGCATCTGTCCGGCCTGTCCTTCTCTACGGTTGCGACTGCTGGGCTTTGCGCGTGGAGTATGAGCGAAAACTGGAGGTATTTGACCACCACTGCTTGAGGATCATCCTTCGAGTGAAGATAACCGACTTCGTCTCAAATGAGACAGTCCGCGCTCGCTGTGACAACATCGCAAGGATAACTCAGGCCATCCAAGAAAGACGACTGAGGTGGTTCGGGCATGTTCTTCGTCGTCCACCTCAGGAGCTCAGTGCTACTGCCCTCGATCCGGCACCGTTGCCCCATTGGAGGCGTCGAAGAGGGGGTCAGTTCAAAACCTGGCTCGACACTGTCCGTCAAGACATGGAGGTGGTTCTTGGACCTTCGGTATTCGGTCTCCGTCGTTGGCGAAGGGAATGGGTTGAGCTGTCTAGATCTGCTGCCGCGGACCGTCACGCGCGGATAGGTACAGTTCGGGACATCATCGAGGCCGGCTAGATCAGGCATGATCGCAGCCGTATCAAGTACAAGTTTTGTGGTACGCCAGAACACCCTAGCCCGCCTCTCAGTCTTACGTATACCATCGTTTCAACAGCAATTTAAAGTGGAGTCAGTTCAAGAGGCTAACGCACGCCCGAAAAGTCAGTCCTCCCTTGAAAAGGACTTCAACGCGGCTCCGACAGTGTCGCCAGACACCTTGAGGTGGCACTAAAGTCTCAAACTTTACGAGATCTCCACATAAGCGACATCGACGAAAGATTGGCATGTGAACGTTAGTGGTTACCACTTGACGTTTTCCGCTAAACATAACTGACTACTGTGCAAGCTCAGGAAATAAATCTCCGTCTGGATGGCCGAACAGTTCTCTGGATTGCCATACCATTGGTATTATAGTCCGAGTCTCTAAATCATTTCTACATACTAATTCTTGCAAGCAGACGATGTCAGTGACGTAAGCCGAGTTCAACACTGTCTAACAAGTACGTATTCACTCACACAACACAAAGGTTAAGGCAAACATGGACTCCTCTCGTTATCGATGGATGCTAATCCCCATAACTGATAGACATCCTGTTGGCGAAGTCCGGATACGTGCACTCCTGTGGATGCAGTAACACCAGTCATTCTGTATGGGTATTTTACACGCGTGGGCCTATAAAAACAACACAAGCAAGATAACAAGTGCCGTACAAGGTCAGGGCCAGGGAAATTGTCAGTAAGGGTGTAATTACGAAGCAAACCACTTCCTCTCCCCGATTGTAAGCAAAGATTGTGTTTAAAGATGACACGGGATTGTTACTTACTCGACCATCGCCCATCCAACTCGAACAGCACAGCCATTGTACGCTCCACGGCAGGCCACTTGTGAAGTTTCTGTGTATACTATGCAGACATCAGCTGTCATATGAAAGCTCCTATGGAACTAACTATAGTGGCTGGACAGTGTTTTTCGTGAAGACGAAAGTACACCCGGTGCGGCGGCAAAGTGTGTAGACAGAAACTCTAGGAAACTTCATCCAGCAGCCGCTGTGTACAATAATGAAGCCTTCCAGGAGGCCCGGCAAGCGTTATCCAACGATTATGCTAATGCTGAATACACATGACAGAAACTAGGTCAAGACGACCACATCTAGAAACAAGGTAGGGCCTGAAACCAACCAACGTAGTACGTCCATGCGCACGGGGAAGTTAGTTGCTGAAAATCCCCTGTCGCGTACTTTTTCTTTATCCCATACCTGCCGAACTGGGACAATTATCAGCTCGGTCATAAGTTTAACAAACAACTGCATTACCCCAGAGTTTTGTTAGCCAAACGGTCCTTTGGACGCACTAATCGAGCTTCCACAGAACTCGGACGATCCTTGTATCAGGTCGCATAAATAGCACAATACGGGAAAAGGACTTCATAATGCAGAGAGCAAGATCCGAAAAGCAGAACCTAACCTGTTGTCCTGACAGAACAGTCTTTTGGAGTTGACTGCTTTACTGAGTTTAGATGTCCAAATAAACGTGACAATAAAATCCTTGCAACCAAAAAAACCCGTCGACGGACGTCGACACGCGAGTTGGAAAAAAGAGGTAGAATCGAGTAAATAAAAGTGTTTGTGAAGAAATGATTTTTGAGTTAACTTGGCAAGTCAGACAACACATGCAGCAAAAACTGTGAAAGGCTCCACCAGAAAGAACGTTAAATTCGACAACCTGGGCGGCCTAGCTGACCTTACCGATTCTAAATACGTTCGCTCGGTATAATTAGGCAAAAGGCCGTTCTATGGAGAACTGAGGCATAAGGCAACGCAAGCTCATAAGAAATTTTTAATAAAAATGCAGGCTTTGTACAACAGCTCATGCCCATCTTCAACGTCGGAAGGCTGGAGCTGGCGGCGCACCCCGGGCACCACGCAATGGTCGAGCTCTTCCTCTAACTAAAAAGTACGAACGAGTTAACAACCAAAGAGTGATTTACCTCCGGCCCTGACGATAACGTTCTTGCCGCGTCCGGTGCCAAGACCACGTGCACCAAGAGGGCGTTTGAGCATTGGTGAGTTTTTAAGCATATCTGGCAAAATTAAAAACCTAAGGTCTCGTATCAATCGGCAGCTGATGCACAAACCTGATTTTGCTTCCCCGAATGTAAACATGCTGGAGGCTGGACGTCTTGCCGTCCCTGGCGGTCATTATAATATCTTGCATATGAACGTTCATATTGTCCTCAGCTTCGATCAGCTTTCCTCGGAATATCTCCCCATTTATTGTTTCCAACGTAATCACGTGCCCTTCAGCATCGTGCAAAACCTTGATGGGAACGCCGACCGACGTCATTGTGAAACGAAAATTCGAAGGCGCGCCCGCACTCCCACCTTCGAAGAACGAATAGAGTCGAATCTGAAAGTGTGTTTATTTAAACGTCAACATTTACATATCTTTCCCTCACTCATTTGTTCAGCCCAAAAGTATGAATTGGGATTAAATGGTGTTTTATTTGATAGTATGAGAGGGTTTGTGCGAACCCTCAGTACGACAGATGTTATAATCTGTTTGAATTCCACGCGATTGGCTGCGGTTACAAGGCTTAGGGTTATTTTTCACCTTGATAACGACGCTTTTAGTATAACATATGCAAACGACTGACTCGACTAGGGACAGTTTATGGTCAACTTTTTCACTAAGACGGAGGCTGGGTGGACAATTCGAACTACAGTCTGAACAGGCTCTTTAGGCTAATTTAAAAAAAACCATTGACGGCTTGCGTTCACAGCTTAAGACAATATTTGTTAATGGTAGATCTTTGGCCGTTACTCGCCCTAATTCACGGAACTGAACTGTTAGATGCGCATTCTAACGGCTACCTAATATTCGAGCAATTTTTAATTTTTTTTCCGGACTCAATTCCACAATTTTGTGCGCAGACTCAGAGATGGCATCGACGTCCTTTACCATATCCGCAATCGTATGTTCGACTTACTGGGACGCTTTTCTTCAGCTGTCTGGGGAGGTGAAATGCCCGAGCTGAGCAATTCACCTGATGATAGCACTGTAGGAAGAAAATGGTAGAATGCGGGGTAGCATACCGAACAAATCATGACTAAGTCTCTGCCCACCATCCAGGAAAGAAACAGGTGAAGGTGTACGAGGAGTATAAGCGCAAGCAGAAGTCCTGGAGAAAATAAGCAAAGACCAAAATATCAAATGGAACAGCACAGAACACCAAAGTATTTCAGGAAGATTCAGAGGAGGAGGAGGAGGAGGAGGAGGAGGAGGAGGAGGAAGAAGAAGAAGAAGAAGAAGAAGAAGAAGATCTAAACGAAAGATTCAAAAATGTTCTCAATGCATGGAAGAGCATGAAGAAGGTCGATCTGAAAAAGATGACATAAAATTCTGAAGAGCGATGTGAGTGGATACCTAACACGTGTCTGTTTAATTCCTTAGGACACTGGTGTGCGGTGTTTATGTCATCTGTCTGATTCACAAGCGCACAGGGACCTTATATAACCTGCACAGACACCGTAATAAATATCTTTTGAAGAAAAGCTCAGATTCTACATTTCCGGTCCTTTTTCTCTGCATGATGCATTTAGGATAGTGATAGAATGATAGTTTCCCAGCCGCTACCAAAATTTCATCTGAAGATGATAGCTGGGAATCGGTCCTGTCGATCTGGCGGTTGGTGTTTAAGAACTGACGCTTAAAAACGCACAAAAAGTTACGCAACATAAAAGCACTTACTTTAAAAGGTAGGATTGCGCGGAATGTGCTCTCAGGATCTCGTTTACCTCCAGTCCCTCTAAATAACGCTACACCACAGCTTTCGGTCTTGAGAAATTTTTCATTTAATGGAAAGTTCTTGACCAAAAAGTTATAGAGCGCATTTGGTTCCCAATGCAAAAGTTATGAATAAGTCTTCAGACAGCGTGTGTATTTTCTCATCATTTTCTGCGCAGAATCTCTAGCCCTCCCTTGGGGCAGTTTTAGATAGTTATTCCTCCTACGCTTGTGGACAGGGAGGAAATTGTTTTGGGGTCGAATTCCCGCCCCACTCCCGCCCCACCCCCACCCCCAATTAAGTGATCGTCAAACTGAATTCTGTTTTCCTTCCTATGTTTTTCTATTGGTATGTAGAGGATAACGGACAGAACCTTTGGAGACTCCTAATTTGGGGTAATTTGCATATTTTCGCGTTATACAGCATTGCAAACATTCAGAGTGTTTCCAAGACATAAGCCTACACAATTAAAAAGAAGTATTGACGTTTGCCGGTACTCAGTCACGGTGGAATTTATAGGGCTAGCTGTAAGTAATCATGTTGTGAAAGACGATCTGCGCCAAAAAATAAGCAGCGATGTTTTATTTTAAAAGGAAAGACGGTGTTGGTCATCACTGTCATACTTAGCAACGAGTTTCGTAGATTGATTATCTATGGGCGAGAAATTGTCCGAAAAACCGTTTACGTAAATTATTTGTGAGGAGGACCACATAGGTTATTTGCCAGTTATACCTCCGTTGCCGACGGCGTCCACACGTGCTCCGCAGGAAGGTAAGAGAAAGCACAGCGACTTGTGCTTGAATTAGTTTGTGGTGGTACTAGACTTGCAAATCATCTACCGCGCCCTCTCCTTCTCCCTTGCTTGGGTCCGGTGTCAAGAAATAGTCCAAAAGACAAGGTCGAGAAGACGCAGGTGGCTGACACTGCCGGATCTGTACTTAGGTTTGCCACCATACCCCCTGGTTCCCAACAAACACTTGACCGGAATTTTAGCCAACAACAAAAATGGATCAGAAGGCGAAGTTTGACACAAGTCACTGGGCAATCCCGCACACTGCCTGTATACCCAACAGCGGCACCAGCGCATCCACCGGCGGGGAACCATGTGCCATAAAACTTCCAGCGCACACCAGGCTGCGAGGGCCATGTTTTTCTGAATCATGGCATAACAGACGCACACAATCCTTAAGGCTCTGAAGGGTGAGTCGCAGCCCTACATTCAGTCTGGACCAACATCCTTCAAAGATGGGATGACCAGTCAGTCGTAGACTGAGAAGTACAACCCATAAAAAGCACACCCCTCACATGCATGAGACTGCCATAGGTAGTTTATGCTTGTAAATTCGAAACAGTCCTCCAGTCCTACGAACACCCATGACCGTAGATAATGCGAAGTGCCAAGATCAAACTATGCATTCACTGGCAGAATGTTTTTACCGACAAAGACAAGGGAGACTGGAATGGCCATGTCTGGCTTATTAGCCGTCGTCAGCCAGCCATACCCAAGCCCGAAGTGTGGAACACCCGAGCCTCGAACTCGCGACCTGTTGGTTTAGAAGTCCACGCCTCTAACCACTGAGTCACGAGCCCGTTGCCCTGTCGGTTTCGATCGGGAATATACAATGGTCATTTCAGTCTCCCTTGCCTTTGTCGGCAATAACATTCTTCTTATATATCATGCGCCGCTGCGCGGCTGCTGGTTGGGCTCGAGAAAGAGCCTTTAAGGCACATCGGAACGAGTGAGTTCCGTATGAACGATCGGCGAGCGCCCCCTAACATTATGCATTCATTGTTTGTATGATAACCCGAATGATCAAGTCATGATAACGCCTTAAGATACTTAATCATCTTCACTGCTCTGTGTTGCACCAGCTCAAGTAGGCCAATATCTTTCGTTATTCACTGCGTCCAGACAGCCATTGTGTGATGGTGATGGGTTCTCACGAAGACGTTGGAAATTTTTTTAAAGAGTTCAGTAGGAAATAACTTCAAGTCACCTCTAGTCCAACTTAAAGTACTAGTTGTCTTCTGGAACACCTACTTAGAATGTTCTGACGGAATCATTTTCGCGATTATCCCCAAAGCCTGCTTGTTGGTTGCTTCCACATCTCTAAGTCAGTGTTGTTAATTTAACTTGGGCTTTCTGCAGAGAATTTGTGACCGGCATTCAAGCGTACGACCTCCCATCTGTGCAAATAGAACCTTATAGCCTTCCTACGCGACTGAACATTCAGTTTAATTATGTTCAAGTTCAACATTTTGTGCCGTCAGCACAGCCGCCTTTACTCCATATTTCACATCATCGATGAACATGACTGTTTTGTAGTACAATGTTTTGGCGCATTCATTAACACACATCAGTAAGAGTAGTTGGCTTATAAGAGAACATCGTGGGATACCAATTTCAACCTCCATTCAGTCCGAGGTAGAAGTCGCAACTAGAACTCTCTGCACTCCTGATGACAGAAAACTCTTGGAATGGTATTACTGACAAAAACAAGTGAGAGCGCGATAGTGGTATTTGGAATATTAGGCGTCGTCAGCCAGCCATACCCAATCCTGAGGTGTTGAACACCTGGGGTCCGATCCCGCGACCTGTTGGTTAGAAGTCTAGTGTCCCTAAACACAAAGCCATGACTTCGTTGCCCTGTCGGTTGAGATCGGGAATATACAACGGTCGAGGGGCGGTCGCCGATGCTTTTTACGGAACTCATTACGTTTTGCCCTGGGGCTCTCACTCGAGCCCATCCAGCAGCCGCACACTGGTGCATGATATAGGCGGAAAAATCTCGATCCACTCCAACGTCCTGTCTTCAGTTCACATTTCCCAAATAGGTCAGTATATTTAAGGGAAATAGGCAATGTCTTTCAAAACCCTATGGAAAACTGTACATGCAATATCTAACTTTCAATAAGCACGCTACTAGAATGTTAACAGTAATGCAGACATTTAACAGCATATTGGCCCTGAAAATTCAGGACTGCAACTCGTAAACGCTCAATTATAGGTGATAACGGTAAAATGAACTGACAACCAGCCACATTGGCGGCAGGTCTATGCAAGACGTTGGTTTGGTATAACAGAGCTGTTCTGTCCAGATAAGCGGCATTTTTCAAGCAAACATACATCTTCTCTTTGCTTAAATGTCTCCATGGAATCTGCCATCATCACGTCCTCGGGAAGACTGTTCTAGGCACCGACAACTCGCCGTGAAAAGAGTATTTGCGAATGTCCAGGCAGCATCGGGATCCTCGAAGTTTAAGCTAGTTCCCACGCAGGTTTGTTGTTGTGGCCAAGGCGAATTAATTATCGAGATGCAAGGCGCAGCCCCGGTTCCTCAAAATCCGGTACACCTGTATGAGATCTCCTCTGATCTACCTGTACTCGAGAGGAAGTATATTAAGCTCATCAAGTCTGCAGTTTTAAGGTAAAGTTTTGAGGCCTTTCACGATTCTGGTTGTTCTCCTCTGAACTCTTTCCAGTAACTTATGGTCTTTGTTCAGCCACGGGAGTCACACTTGGATTACATATTCCAGATGCGAACGAATGAACGCCCATTATAGTTTTCCAAATAGTTCTTTGTATGTATCTGTGAAAGTTCGTTTTGTGACAAAGAGAACACCGGTTGCCCTTTTGGCCGCCATAACGCATTAAGAGAAAGGCATAAGAGTCGACAAAATGTTGATCCCAAGGTTCTTTTGTCCGGTCACATTTGAAAGGCACCTTCCGCCAAGCATACATTGGCGATCCTCCCCATTGGCTCTTCCATTTATTTTGAGTCGCAGTGTGACGCACTTCTCAAAGTTAAACTTTTGCAGCCAATTGTCGGACCATTCGCATGGGTGGTTCAGTCCCACTTGCAGGGTCCGTTCATCATTTCCCCGTTGATCGCTCATCATAACTTGATGTCATCGGCAAACCTGACTTCATTGCAGTCCAGTCCATTCACACAGTCGTTAACATAAGTTAAAAACATTACTGGTTCGAGTACATAGCCCTGGGGAACTCCACTCACAACTGGCCCTAGCGTTGATTTCGCACTACCAATGCACACAGACTGTGATCGGCCAGTCAGAAAGTCCTTTACCCAGTTTAATAGGTTTCCCCTTATCCCAGACTCTTGGACCTTGTAAAGTAACCGGTGCTGTGGAACAATATCAAAGGCTCTCTTGAAATCGATGTAAACGACATAGACCCTTGTTCCTTCGTCTAATGAGCAAGAACACTGCTCCACTGAATAAACCATATTAGTTAAGCAGGAATGATTTCGTTAAAAGCCGTGCTGGGAACTATCAAAGAAATTTTTTCTTCCAAGAACTGCATAATGATTTTATTGACTATTCTCTCCATAACTTTGCAACAAATGCACGTTAGACTCACCGGACGATGATTATTTGCACATGTTTTGGTTCTCCCCTGCGAATGGGGTACATATTCGCCACTTTCCAGTCAGGGGTGAAAATGCCTCCGTCAAAGGATAACTGCAAAATATGCAGTTCGACGCCAGCTCCTTCAGAACTTTTGCCGGAATTTGGTCTGGACCGGAGATTTACACTATTTAAGCGCTAGAAGTTGCTTCCTCACATCTTCTTCCGTGAATTCGATGTTTTCTGCTATTTTGTAGGTTGTTCTAAAAGCCAATCCAGCCTCGTCAAAGTCCGTTTAATCGATGAAAACAGATGCCAAAAACCGGCTAAGATGTTCTGCCTTAACACCATTTTGGATGATATCCTCATTTTTTTCTCCTTTCAACATTGAGACCATCTCATTATTCTTTAGCCTGCTGTTGATTTAACTGAAGAGTACTTTTGGCTTATCGACGGACCGTTGCATAACTCGCGCTTTATACTCCTCCCGCAACCTGCGGACAGTTGACCTCGCTTCGTTTCGCTTTCGATGAAACTGTGCATAAAGAGGTGGTTGTGATGTTTTTGCATACCTTCTCCATAGTTTATTCTTCCGGGTTGCCTCTTTCTTTCTAGTCCGCGCTATCCAGATAGGATGAATTTTCTTTTTGACTTTCTTTGTCGGACAGTTTCGATGCACGATGTCGGTTACAACTCCTTTGAGAGTGTTCCAATAAACATCTGAATGTCCGGTAAGAATATCATGCCAGTTCACTACCGATAATTCACTTCTCACGGCCGCAAAATCTTCTCAACAGAAATTTAGCCGGGGCTCAGTCGCATCGACTTGTTGGCAGCATAGGCGGTATTCCTAAAACAGCATGACATGGTCCCTCTTACCAAGCGGCGCTATGGACCTAAGTTCGCCCGGACTAATGGGGTCTTTTGTAAGGTCCAGACAATTTGCTCTTTGGTCCTCTCCGATCCTGGTTGGGAACGTGACATTCTGCACCAGATGGAGACTAACCGTTAGTTTCGAGGGTCTGGGATCAAAGGTATTTACTAATAAATTGTTCCAGCTGACCATCGGTGCGTTGAAGTCTTCGGTTATCAGTACCTCTTGGTTTTGTGACACCTCTTTAATTAATCCAAGCATCGCCTCGTAAACCCTAGCGGTCTGATTGGGAGGCCTGTTTATCGTTAGGAAATTCAGATTAGGTGCACCATGCATCCTTATTTTTAACTACAATGCTTTACGGTCGCGGGTGCAATCAGTTTTGTGTCCTGACGCGATGATTTCTATCTTGACGTACATAGATCACTGGTCCCCCTCTTTTTTCATGCAGTCTGTCTCGGCGAAAAAGTTGGTATTCATTGAGTGCATTTTCTCTGTGATAGAAACGGCATCCGGCTACGTATATGATATCTACACTTTCAGCTCATATAGCTTCTGGAACAAACTCTCAGCACTTGCATAACGAAAGCGGAACTTAGCCCAGGCAGATTCCCGAATGATTTTTGGGCCGAAGTCGTTAGATATTTCGTGTGAGTTTTCGGCTCCATCGTCCCCTTCCGGGTCATTTTACAGGCATCTTCAAAAAAGAGATACAGTACGGATCTAGCCGAAAGTGAAAAAACCCTCAAATAATAAATATAAGTGGCAGCACTTTGGGTACTTTGGGCAGCTCTGGAAAAAAACCTGCAAAAAGTACGTATAGTTAGCTATTGATGACGTTCCTGAAGCTAAAAGTAAAAAGTCTAATGGAGAGCCCCTGTCCGCTACATTTTTCACATCCTCACATGAGTGAAGAATACTCGTGAGACAGGAGTGTTCTCGCACAGTGCGTCATTTTCTTCTAGATTGTTCATTGCATATCTTTTGCTAATACGTTCCATTAGTTTACTGGAGGTGCATGTTAGACTGGCTGGAAGATAGCTCTTTGAGTCGAGTGGTGATCCTCCCATACATACACGGTGGTGCAGAGGTGGGTACGTATCTCCTGACAGCGAGCATCATGTCGATGGCTTCGCAGTGTCGTCAGGGGCCACACTAGCCTTCCAGTAGAAGTCCTTGTTCTAGACGGTGAACGGTTGAGGAGGATGCGAGCGAAGACCTTTCGGGCGATGTTGAGCACCGAGATTCCTCTGTGGTTATCACAGAGTTGGCGGTTCCCTTTTTGCTTGTAAAGATAGACGATTGTCGCATTCTTGAAATCCCGGGGAACTCGTTCTTGGCCCCCATCTACTTGAATAGCGTCTTGAGTTGACCCACCAGCCGGGGGTTGTCAGGCTTGTAAAATTCAACGAGGGTCGCGCCCGATCCCGCTGCCTTACCACTGGAGCATTGTTGAACTTCTCGAATGGGTTCTGTGGAGGAGGCGGGAGATCCAGGTCGGTGTCCTTCTCCACTTGGGGAGCCGATCGATGGCGGCACGGAAATCGTGAATAGGCGGTTGAGGACGGTCATAAAGCTCACAGTCCAGCGCTTCAAAATCTGTGATTTTTCCATGAGAAGTGTTGTTCCGTCAGTTTGGAGAGGCCTGACGGTTCTTTTTGCCGTAGGGTCATAGATTATCTTGATTTGTGCAAATAAGTTCTTAGATTCGTTGCGGTTGGCATACCCTTCGATCTCCTCGGCCTTGCGAGCCATCCAGACGTCATGCATTTTCCGCAGCTGTTTCTGCAGAAGGCAGCGACATCCGAAGAAGGCCGCTTTGTTTACGCCAGTCTGACGGTTAATGTAGGCTTTGCACAGCCCATTCTCCTCGGCGAGTAGGTTGCTGATATCTGTGTTTTTGTTGTCGAGCCAGTCTTGGTGTTGATGGTGTGCACGTCCGAGGACATTCAGGGCGGTGATGTGGAGATCGGCCCGCAGTTGACATCAGCAAGACTCCACTGAGGCGTTTCCCTCTGGAGCTTGTAGGTCATCTAGTCGCCGGATCAGTTGATTTTTGAAATCACAAGACTCATAAGGCGGTCTCTGATGCACTGCGGCAGACAGGACAGTCGTTCCTTACTATCTTTACGGATGACAAAGGGGATGCCTACGTCACGTCGTTCTGCTTTTGGACGGCCGCTCCAGAACAATGTGTAGCCTGCGCCCACCTCATCCAGTTGGCCCTGCTCTGAGAAATGGACCTCCCGAGAGCAGCGATGTCCGCTTTTTGGCGCGTCAGTTTTCAATCGACTAGTTCTGTCCCCTGTTCCATCTGGTTGCTCCTTCGATTGTCTAAAAGAGAATGAACATTCCAGGCTTCGACATTAAACGGATTAATTCTAGCAGCCTGTGGGGTGAGGCGGGGAGTAGGGACGTGCGTTGTTGTTTGTATGATCGTTTCGACTGTAGTT